AATAAAGTATTATAGTGTAGTAAATTATTTTGCTACAGGTCAACTCACAAATATAAATATTTCATATGACAAATGGAAAAAAAATACTAAGTCATCTCAATCGAGCATTAGTATAGAGTCCATCACGGATGAGTCATCCGTGACGGGCCTATTTGTTACCGATTGAGATATGGTCACACAGGCCTGAGTTTTATGCACATCTAACATGTCTATGCGACCATATCTCAATCGGGCAATTTTTTGGCCCGTTACAGATGACTCATCCGTGACGACCAACTAATCACAGATATGATAGAGACCGTCATAGATGGAAGGTTATGTACTAGTGGTATTATCTGTACTATTATTATCGATCTGTGGAGAAAATCATCAAATTACGCACAACCCCATAGTTGATAGATGCATACCTTAGCAAATGAATCAAATTTCACATAGTGTGGATCTTCAAATTTCACATGGCCAGTTTTATTCGTAAGCATATAGAGGAAAGTTCAGGCATGCATTGTAGGACATTTAACATCTCGATCACTGTTTATTTTTGCATTGGAAGAGTAGTGTCTAGTATTAGTTTCTTAATGATGTGAATTTTATGGAAACTATGTCTAGTGTCTTGGGTTGGAAATGACCTTATTTAACCATTATAATATGGAAGTGAGCGAAACCGCCACATCTGGAAGTATAACTCTATATGAACTAAATTTGCTGAGCTTGAAATTAGACATGGTGAAATGCACTTGTATTAATTGCATTTTGCATATAATGTAGAAGGAAAAAAGTAGCGAATTCGGATTTACTCTGATCTGTAGGTCTTGGCTGCAAACATTGCAACTAAAATTTTTTAATTCACTTCATCTGCATCAAAAAGGTTTTGCTGGAAACTTATCACTGAGAATTGAGACTGTCACTGCTGGAGAAATTATAAAGTTACATAGCCTCTTCTCCTCGCTGGCGCAAAAGAAGCCAAGGACGCTCGTCCATGCTGTTTCCGTCAAGTTCGGTATGCAATTCCTTGGCCCCACTCTCCTCTCCCATTTCCAATGTCTCACGTTGGATACATCGCCTCCGCTCTTGCCCCCGAACCACATAGGCTGTCTTTCCTGCCACCGATCCTACACAACGCCCTCTTCATTCATACAGCTCTAATGGTGCTCCGACCCTACACAACATCCTCTTCATCCATATGGCTCTAATCCATCTACATCTATATCTACATCAGTGACTTGATGAATAGAAATAGAAAGAAAAAAGAATTTTTTATCGGAATTGCTAAATGTCATTCAACAGAAATTTAGGTATGAAATCTTATAGATTTTGGACAGTTGGATCCACGCCAAGATTCGCGCGTCAACTTCTTCTCCTCTAATTCCGGTAGGCTTCCCTTCTTCTCCGGCGCCAACGACACCCCAAACTTTGGCAAGGAGCATACGGGTTAGTGTTTGGGATTGCGGTTATGATAGGAGGGGGGTTGGAGGAGGGAGGAGGGGGGGGGGTTCCTCAGGACTTAGAGGGATGGTTGTGGGCGGTTGGTGGTGGACAAGAGCGGGTTGCGAGGCGCCGTCAGAGCCAAAGTCACGGGATTGGCAGCAGGTGGAGGGCCGGCTTTGGCGGCGGGAGAAAACAACGAGACTGGTTAGGAGGCGGCGGCCAGTGATATCCGACGGTGGGGAGCCGCTGGAGACGAGGAAGATGGTGGGGCAGGGGCACTCAGCACCACAACCTTGGGGGAGGCCTCGCCAGGGCCATTAACCCGGCAGGGTAGCAGCGACTATGCAGGAGGTGGAGCACTGCTCGTCGCGTGCGTGAGCGTGAAGCGGCAGCGGTTGGCGGACTAAGAAGGGAAGGAGGAAAAGTAGGGTTTAGGTATGTTGCACAAATCTCAAAATATCAAATGGTCCTGAATTTGGAATATTTGGGGAGTTTTTTCTTTGTCAAAATCCACCTAGAAAGTCCTTTTTTATAGTTAGACTGACATTCACTTTGATGAAGTTTATAGGAGCTAGTATGTCATCGATGATAATGATTTGAGAAAAGTTTAGTTGCTTTGGACAAGGCCAATGTTTGTGCCACCATGAGCAATAGGAGTGGGGTACACTGGAAAGAGCCACAACTATGTCCAAATGTACAATGCTTATGACTGGTAAGAAAATAAAGTGGGCCTCGCTGGGTTCCACCAAAAGAAAGAAAATGGCAAAAGGTCCCGCATGGCAGCCAAATGACTACAAATAAACAATTTAATGCAATTTTGTATTTTATTAGTATGAATAGCAACCCTATATTTTATTGTCTTGTGACCACACCTTAAGCTTAGGCCAGGTGCATCTTAGCTTGGTGATACTTATGGTGTATCTCCACAATGGCAAATGTGCAAAACTTAGTAGCATTAAATACTTAATGTGACCTTTTTTCAACATTGTGGATGCCCTTGGAGCAGGTACAATAGCAGACTATAAGTAAACTATAAACACATATCGAGAAGATAAAAGAAGAGAGAGAAAAGCAGCGGGCTATAAATTTATAGCCAGCTGCAACACGAACTTCAAGATACAATGTGTGTATGATAGCTGGGGTCTGTTGGTATTTCTTAACGACATTACTAGAAATATAATTCCCAGCAATGATGCAGAAATACTTCTGGTACATTATTGTTACAGAGTTCATCTGCAAGCGCACGGATATACCATTGTAGCATTTTACCCGAGAGTATTCCAAGGGTATCATATTTGTTTAATCCCGTGAGAAGATTATAATAGAGAGAACTATAGTAATAATTTATATATTACTTATAATAATCCAAAGTCTAAGCAGGGGTTAATATAATTCAGAGAGTAGAGTGACACTAAGCAGAAGCATTCATACTCTTATTTATAATTACCTAAGCTAAGTGGAAAGAATATAGAAAGATCATATTCCTATACTTCTATTACGCAAACATATTATGCATACATCCTAGTTATATCATTACTTAGCTAATGCCCTCTTTCCGATGTCCTCTTGGTGTTTCGAGAAGCCACCCCTGATTGCAGAGTTTCTTACGACAATCCATTATGACCATTCAACCAGGGCTAAATACAGAGGAGTACCCTCCCCAGGAAATTAACTTAGGACTATATACACGCGCGGAGGAAAACCGGTACTGAGCTGTCACCATCAGCGGCCCACCTCGCTTCCACAACATATAACCCCAAATAATAATATCCAGTAATATAAACACCACGCTTAAATTACCAAATACTACTCTAATATCGTCGTCATGACATAGAGTCATCATATACACGATGATTATACGCACACCATTGCATCTCCTAGATAAGCTAGCATCATAACAAATATGACTTGGATATATAATAAAGTTGGTATTCATATACTCGGAAAGTAATACAATACCAAAGTGGTATAAGGAAGAATATTCTAAATAAAGTACAAGTCTTACAAAAGAAGGAAAAGCTATTAGAGCCGTACTCGAATTATTCCGAAGACTCCGAGGACTGAAGATTATATTCTATTTCTATTCCACTATACTCTAGAGACTATACTAAACTTATACTAAACTTGAGAGATGAAATGAACTTCTTGCTTGAGGTGTGTCTTGAAATGGAGAGACTGAGGGGGTTTATATAGGCTGGTAATGACGGTTGGAAAGGTCGGTAATATCCACCAACTGTCATTGAAGATCAATCCCAGCCGTCTAGCCAAACCCTGCAACCATCGGCGCTGCGGCTGGTTCGGCCGAACCCTGGGCTGGCCCAACCGGCCCAGTTCCTAGCAGGCGGCCTCCTCTCCTGTTGCTCACTTCGGACTTGTGAATTTTGGTCCAATTGATCGTGTCATTTCTGAGTTCTTGGTCCATCCTTCCATAAGTCTGATTCTTGACATCGTCCGATTGATTGACCATCTATTTTTATGTCGATTCTCCTCTATTTTATGTTTATTCTTTGCAAGAGATTAGTAATCCTAGTGCTAGTGGAATATATATTATTTAAATACAAATATGCATTGCGAGCATAACTAGTTCTTATTTTAGTAATATTGACGGGCGAAACTGATCGCTAACGACCGTCAACAGGGCCATGTATTAGTAGTGTATTATATGACTATATATGATTTGAATAGTAGTTAGCTATACTATTAAACTTGCTTTTAGGAGTCTTCATCGTCTCACTCAATTGGCATCTCCTCTTAGGCCTAGTTCTTTCCAAAAACGTTATATCGAATCTTTGGATATATACACGGAACATTAAATATAGATAAAAATAAAAACTAATTACACGGTTTGCATGAAAATCGCTTGACGAATCTTTTGAGCCTAATTAGTCCATGATTAGCTATAAGTGCTACATTAACCCACATATGCTAATGACAGCTTAATTATGCTCAAAAGATTCGTCTTATGGTTTCCAAGCGAGTTATGAAATTAGTTTTTTTTATTTATGTCTAAAAATCCCTTCGGACATCCGGTCAAACATCTGATGTGACACCCAAAAATTTTCTTTTCGCGAAATAAACGCATCTTTACTAAACCATGGACCTTATCCATCTACAATTTCACATCATATTTATTTAATGACCGATGAACAGAAATAGAAAAAGAAAGTATTTTTTTAAGACTAACATTCGATATTTAGAAAATTATAATGGCATGGTTATAATTTTTTTTTATGGTTAGCCCTGTTTAGATGGGACTAAAACTTCTAAGTCCATATCACATCGGATGTTTGAAAATTAATTATAAATATTAAACGTAGACTATTAATAAAACCCATCCATAATCTTGGACTAATTTGCGAGACGAATCTAATGAGCCTAATTAATCCATGATTAGCCTATGTGATGCTACAGTAAACATTCTCTAATTATAGATTAATTAGGCTTAAAAAATTTGTCTCGTGAATTAGCTTTTATTTATGTAATTAGTTTTGTAAGTAGTCTATATTTAATACTCTAAATTAGTGTCTAAAGACAGGGACTTAAGTTAAGTCCCTGGATGTAAAAACCACCTAACATTCACTCCGCACCTACCGAACACACCGGAAAGATCCAAACCCAAAATAAACAACGAAACTCGCACAAAAAAGGGAAAAAGAATGCGCCACCGTGGCCCACCGCCGTGACCTCGCCGCCGGCGAGGCCTCCCCTGCCCATGGACTCCGCCGGCGTCATCCTCTCCATCCTCAGCAAGCTGCAGTCTCTCGGCTTCTGCGCCCATCTCCGGATCGGCGACGCCGCGGCCTCCGGCCCCCCCTCGGACCTGTTCGACACCGTCCTCGCCGCGTTCCTCCGCGAGGTCTACCCGGGCGGCCGCGAGGTGCGCCCTCTCCCGGCGAAGCTCGGCGACGGGAGCCGCGTCGACCTGCTCCGCCTCTTCTCCGCCATCCGCGCCGCCGGCGGCTACGCCGCGACGTCGTCGTCCCCCGCCGTCTGGGCCTCCGCCGCCGAGTCCGTTTGCCTCGACGCCACCCTCGCCGCGCCCGTCAAGCTAATCTACCACAAGTACCTCGCCGCCCTGGACCGCTGGATCCAGAGGCTCGTGGAGGCGCATGGACCCTTCCTGGATGGCAACGACGGGAGGAAGAAGCCAGAGCCATTCTTCGATTCCAATGGAAGGGAGAATGAAGAACCACTCTTGGAATGCAATGGGGGAGATCTGCAGCATCCAATCTTGAAGAGGAAGAGGGAGGACATGGTTGGGATGTTGGATTGGGTCAGGGAGCTTGCCGAGAATGGCGGTGAGGCAGGCACCATGGCTGCCGGCTCGGCGAATGGGTACTACTCGTTGGCGTTGGCAGCGAGGAAGGCGGTGTTCGCGAAGAGGGCTCGCCGCTCGAGCATGACGATGAATGGTGCACTCATGCAGGTTATTCCAATACCTTCAGTAGCACTTTATCGAAATGTTTGGCATCATTCATGTTGTTTAATCGTATTTTGATGTACTAACTGAATTGAGGTTAGCTTAACTATGATGATTCACCGATTGTATTAAGGCCTTGTTTAGTTGGGGAAAATTTTTGGGTTTGGTTGTCACATCGGATATACGGACGCACATATGAAGTATGAAACGTAGTCTAATAACAAAACAAATTACAGATTCTGCCAGGAAACTGCGAGACGAATTTATTAAGCCTAATTAATCCATCATTAGCAAATGTTTACTGTAGCACCACATTGTCAAATCATGGCACAATTGAGCTTAAAAGATTCGTCTCGCAATTTATACGCAATTTGTGTAATTTTTTTTTGTCTACATTTAATACTCCATGCATGTGTCTAAACATTCGATGTGACAACGTGAATTTTTTTGTTTTGGGAATTAAACAGGGCCTAAATCTTTTTGCTCAAATCCAATTGATAATGCTTGTTGAGAATAGACCAACTTATTGACGCATCTTTGTGATATTTGGCATTTTAGTGTAATTTGGAGAGTACATTTGTATTTCTTAGAGATTACACTGATATGATTGTTTGGAAGATAGTATAATGCCAACAGAAAGCCTAGGCGAAAACATTATTTCCGTCAATTCCTCCCTTCTGAGCCATAGTTAGATACTCGACATAAGTTGCTACCTGAGTCGGGAGTTGGCTATAATTGTTGATACATGCTAAAATGATCATTCTAATCGTACCTCCAATACTTGATTATTTGATATCTATTTATATGTTCTATAGTAATCTTGATAAGAAGATGCATACCTTTTCGCTCTTTGATAACTTGATACCTTCACAATAATAAAATTTAGAGGAGTTTAAAGGTTTTCTTTGGGTTCTGATTGATTCATAAATTCAATTGAGTTTGTGAGAATGGTTAAGTGTCTGAATTTCAAAGGATATGCATTGCATAAAAAACAAATAAATCCAAGTTTTTTTTACATCAAAACGAGTTGTGGAAAACAGCAATAAGCAGCACTCCAAATTCTATTTTGGAAGCTTTTTCTGATGGGAAAACTATCAATGATACTTTTAAAGCTTTTTTAGTTATAATGAAATGAAATTGTGGAAACTCCCATAGATAGGCAACTTATAATTCACATGCTATATCTTTCTTAGGTATTCAATCTTAGCTAAGCTTTTCTTGAATTTCTCTGCTTCTTATCTTTCTCTGGCATTCATCACTGTGGAATTTACAGAACAGTACAGAATTCAGCTTGAACCATGTTTCGCACAGGCAACAGCAATACTCTGGGTCGATCTGCAATATTATTAAAGATAACTTTGAGGAATAATAATAGCATTCGGCTGCTATACGGAAAGTTCTTTTTTATGACTAACTCATACTAACTAATTCTCTCTCCTAGGCAGATGGATTATATTTTTGACTCCACCTAAGACTGATCATATGATTCCTTGTTTTTGTTCCAGCTTCTAGGGTTTCCTCTTGTATAATCTCATTTATATACTGTAATCAATGTATTCATTTATGATCTTTTAGCTTAGGAATTGAGGCCTATGGGGGTCTCATATAATTATTGCTTTGAATATTTGTGTTGGTGGCTGTAATGATTTGTTCAAACAAAACTGTTTTTGCTACAACTCACTGACACATCGTAATGCTGTTACAAATAATTTGGGGCCTATCCTTTTATAATTTTCATGGCACTGAAACATACTCTTTCCTTACATCCTGCTATTACTAGACTTCTATTTCTGCAAAAATGGTGCAGACTGCAGCGTAATCCACAGACTCTGACCCCTCCACTACCAACTTTGGTTCACTATTCAATTTGGGGATACTGTTCAGTTTAGCAACAGTACTTAGGAACCATATTTATTTTTGTAGATTACTGATCCAAATGCCATCATGGATACAAATTACAGATTATATCAGATTAATGATAATTATATCCTCTGAATGTTTTGGTTTATGGCAAAACCAACTCCTACTGCATAGCAAATCCTTCTGCACACTCTGATTTCCCAAAAGCTTTGTTTGAATCATCATCTTGGATGATCAAGAACTTCGATATCTACTGACAAAGAAGTATAAAGGCTCTTAAATTTAGTCTACATTGACCATCATACCTAAAACTCCTAGTTTATGCATAAATCCTTCTGCATCCTACAATTTCCTTAAATCTTCAAATAGAATTAGATTTTAATTAGAATGGAACCACAAATTTAGTTTTTGTTTGGTTTCCAAAGGAACTACAGTATATAAATCGATTTGTAAGCCAATTCTAAGGGTCAATTTGTGTTTGCTGATTTACTGTGCTGCGCTGTTGTTCTTTTGTTTTTAGCATGGAAATGCAGATGTAAAAAATATTGTAGTTTACTTTGTAAATCAAATTAAGTTTAGTTAAATTTTGTTATCAAACTATTAATTTCTCGAACTCATTCAGTTTTTGGTTGCCAAAGGAAATGCAAAATCCGAAATCACCATGACGTTGTGATTTTCGTGCATGATATTGTCCTAGCACCTAATATACCCCTTTTTTGTTTTCTGTCGTTTGCAGGAAATATTTCCAATGGATTGCAAGTGCTGCATGAGTTCCAGCACTACTGGAATTGACACACAAGAAAAATGCAGTAAAAAGATTCAACTTGTCATTCCACAGGCTGGTTCAGATATTAATGAATTGATAAATGTTGTAGAAAACATAAATGTGCCTTCAATTGGAATGGAGCAAGAGAACAACATTATTGGACAAGCGAAATATGAGAGTAGGAAACATCATAACTCTGACAACTGGCTTTTTACGAGTCAGCAGAGGAACAAAATACCAGTGGGCTCTGAGTTCCAAGCACAAGTACCACAATGGACTGGTGAGTTGCCTGTAAGCTATGATAATGCAGAAACCAGGAAATGGTTGGGCACAAAGGTCTGGCCTCTGGAAAATGGTAACAGGAAATTATCATATTTTTGTAACCCTGTTGGAAAAGGTAGAGAAGGTGTTTGTGGCTGCAACCTTCCAGGATCTGTAGAATGTGTTAGGTTTCATGTTGCAGAAAGGAGACTTCAGCTGCGACGTGAACTTGATTCAGCTTTCTATGCATGGGGATTTGATCGTATGGGAGAGGAAATCGCACTTTCCTGGACAGATAAAGAGGAAGCAAATTTCAAGGCTTGCGTGCAGCTTAATGCCCCATCTTCAGGAAGGAATTTCTGGAAGCGTCTCCATATGCTTTTTCAGTCAAAGGGTAGGAAAGAACTTGTGAGCTACTATTTTAATTGTTTTCTACTTAGACGGAGGTGTTATCAGAATAGGATGACTCCAAATAACATAGATAGTGATGATGAGGATGAGACAGAATTTGGATTCTTGGGTAACCGCCTTGGTCATAATGCAACTAAGTATGACAGTTCCAAGTATACCCTTTGCATCGAAAGTACACACTGCATGGATCTCAACCAATAGTTTCTGATCAGCATTAATGAAGATGATTGAAGTTTAGTAGTTCACTTCTCTTGCTGTTGAGTGTCTTGGATAAGGTTTAAATAGGCGGATTGGAGTTTTGGTGTTTAACTTCTCTCATTGCCAATGGTTTCTGCGCGATATAAAGAAGCTTACTGAAATTTGGCAATTAATTTCTTCCATTGCCAATGGTTTCTGATCAGATATAGAGAAGCCGATTGAGTTTGATAATACACTTCTCTCTTTGCGAAAAGTTTCTGATCAGATGAATGCTTTCATCCACTGATTTCTTATGCAGACGGAAATGTAAATGCTTAAGTGCAAGCCAATCATTTGAACAAGTTGCTTACCGCTGCGGAAGATTTGACCGAAGCTTGCGATTGAAGTTGGGAGGCAAGTTTTGATAGAGTGTAGTGGCACTGATATGTGAACAATCACATGGATTCATTATATCCACAAGGTGAAAAAGAGAACAGCGGTAGCATTTTTACCGATGCTTCCTTGAAGGTATCACATGTACCATTTTCTAGTTTTATCCTTTGTGTAAAGTAGTTTTGCATACATTGCACAGTAGTATGATTAACTGTTCCTTGCTCTAGGCTCCCTTTTCGTAGTATTTATCTAGACTAAGGGCTCCTTTGGATGCACGGGGAGAAAACCCCTGGGAAATAATCCCCCAAGGGGATCTTCCCTGTGACATATGAACTCCCTCCATTTCCTAGGGAAGTTGCTCCCGTGAGGGAAAAGTCCCCTACGTTCATTTGGAAGACTCCCACGAGGGGAAATTCCACGCTCCATTCCTTTGAAAATGCTAGCTGCTAGGGTTTAAAATGCGTAGCATGATAAAATATAAAACTCACGATAACTAACGAGCAGGAGAAGATAATCAGGGTGACAAAATAAATTCAAAAATTTCATAGAAAATTTGGAATATCCACAGAAAATTCCAAAAATTCAGACATTCATATGGAAAAGGCATAGCAAATTTGGTAAAAATCCAGAAAATTCACAAATAATTTGAAAAATTCAACATTCAGCTAATACAAAATATGAAAAATTACAAAAATTGAACCTTGGATGATTGGAATATTTTACATAGGCATACATTAAAATGACAGATAAAGCAAGCTAAAACATTAGTGTGATGTCTTTTCAACAACTAATGTGCAATCATTAACAGTTGGCACACAAATAGACACACATGTAAGCAAAGGTTAAGTGGAAAAGATATAATCCTTGGAATTTTCAAATAATCATCTCGGTGCAACTGGTCTTAATCTTTACTCTTGTCACTTGTTGATCCCCAAAACTGCAATTTCACAATAGATAATATGTCAATTTTTTTCTCAATTAATGGTTGCAAATCAAAACACAAGAAACAACAAGGGACAAATTTCGCGAATCATCGCTGAAGTGCTAATGTATTGCATCCACAATTATGCTTCTAGGATTCTATACAAGAATTATGTATCCAGAATTTTGAGGGCTATTTTCATGTACTAGACTAATGTACTTTCTACATGCATACTGTATTATGTTACCAGAATTCTACAGTGCTACTAAGGTAAGTTTTTCATGCTATGCTGCATACAAAGTCAAAATTCCTGAATCATTTCCCATTGCATACAACCAGATAAATAACCACCAAACAATTGCAAACGGAGTTTTTAATGGACACTTAACAACATTGGAGATAAGAAGATCATTAAAAACTGATAGTGATTCAGAATTATGTATTGCTTCCAGAATTCTACACCAGAATTATGCATTCATAATTTAGAGAGCTATTTTGATATTTTCATGTATTCCAAAATTCTATACAGTACTAGTCAAGTAAGTTTTTCATGCTATGTTGCATACAAGTAAAACATTCTGCATCCTAGGGAACTTGACATAGAAAATTCTGCATCATAGGGAACCTGACAACAATAATATCTCAAATTCTCAATCAACCAGAACTTAACATGATATTTCCCATTGCAAGTATAGCAGGGACCAATACGAAAAATAGTTCATCATCCTCTAGTAAAAACTTTCTAATTTGCTCGTTTGCAGAGCCCATCACTTTTCTGTTAGAAAATCAGACTAAAATTACAACAAAAAAATAAAACAACTGATTGGTAAAAAAAAAGAGAGCAAGATTCATCATGGCAAACACAAAAGGGGCAAGAAAGAATTATGCAAGACAGCATAAGCAGGTCTGCCACTAAAATTGACAGAGCAATACTGTACGTAAAAACATCTCAATACAGCCACTAATTCTTCCTGCAATAAGAGCAGGATGAACACCAAAACAGGTTTAATTGCAACAATTTCTTTGATGTGCTATGGTTCACTGTCTCATATTCAGAACACAATTTCAATTCAGCCATGTTATATACTACAATTCAGTGATTGACTAGCACAGACAACAGTTAAATCAGCTAAAATACTTCAATGAACAGCCTACTAAAAAATCTTATCTGTACAATGTACTTTGCAAACAAAAATCATCATGCCATATACTGTGCAAACAATGAATAATAACATTATTAGGGATACACATGCAGATGCAGTGCAACACGTACTTGTCCACTACTATATTAGTACTCATCATGTCTGCATATAGCTATAATAGTACCCATGAGTGCTGTGCACAATACACTGTAGATATGAAATCAACTGAATCCTGAATTTCTGATCATCTCTGATGGCATATGCAAAACTTATAGCTAAGCTGCCATTAATTAATTAGACATACTGTTATGTGGATCGATCTTTCGGCGTATCGATGAAATGAACAAGTCAGTGCTAGCTGTATATAAGCTAGTAATTATATACAGCAAGACAAATCTCTGTGATACTAAACAGCAAAACAAATCTAGCAAGAAGGAGATAGATAGTCATAATCATCTCTTGCAGTGCGTTCTCACAATCCACAGACCAGAAACTCCATTGAACCCTAGCACCTGCGTGTACCCATCCCTCCACGGATTCAACGCTCAAGAACAACATAAATCTACCGGGACAACACAGAACCAAGCTTACAGCGGGGAAGAAACTAACAGAGCAAGAATTCTTTGCGCGCGTGGAGAAACAAACCAAATCAAGAAACAAACCAAATTCTTTGCTACCTTGGATCTGCGCCTCAACGCCTCCTCCGCCGGTGCGTCGCGCCACCTTGGATCTCCCCCCGGTCCTCCGCCGGTGCTGTGCGCCCGTGCTGCCGAGGCGCCGCTGCGTCACCGCCGCGTTTCTGTGCCTGCGATGCGAGAGATGAGACCGAACGGAGGCGAAAACCCTAGAGGAGGAGAACGGGAACCCTAGGAGGATGAGAGGAGGGGAAAGAGGAGAAGGGCTTATCCTTCTCGCCGGAGGAAGAGTCCCGGTGGTGGCGCGTCTCACCGGAGGAGGAGGCACGGCGGCGCCCGCTCTTGGTCGCTGCTTTTGCGCGAGAGAGCGGCGGATCGGGAGAGGAAAATTTCCTGACCTCGAGAGGTCGGGTTCCTTTCCCTGGGGTTTCCCCGCGGATTGGGCCGGGAAATCCCTGCCTCGTGGGTTTCCAAATGGACCAGAAATAAGGAATAAGTTCACCGGAGGTCCCTCAACTTAACAGCGATATTTTTTGAGGTCCCTTAACCACAAAACCAGAAATGTGTACCCCTAAACTCACTCAAACCGTTCACCGGAGGTCCCTCAGCAGTATTTTTTGCCCGGTTTTGCTGACGTGGCATCCTAGTCAGCAAAAACATTAAAAAAAACACGTGGGGCCCACATGTCAGCTTTCACATATTTTTTCTCCTCTTTTCTTCTCCTTCTCTCCTCTTCTCTTTTCTTTTCTCTCTCTTCTCTTCTCCTTCAGGCTGCAGGCGGAGCAGCCGCGCGCCATGGCCGCCGCCGTCGTTAGCTCTCCACCGTCGTCGTCACCGTGGGCGAGGCTACGCGGCGCGGCCATCCGGCGGCGGAGCGGAGGCAGCGGAGCGCGGCGGCGGAGCGGAGGTAGCGGGCGGAGCGGCGAGCACAGATGCGGGCGGCGCAGCGGAGGGCGAGCGCGGCAACGGAGCAGTGGAAGGCGCGAGCGCGGCGACGGGCCGAGCAGTGGAGCGCGAGCAGGCCGCGGACAGAGTAGCGGAGCGCGAGCGCGGCGGCCAGCGAGTTTAGGAGGGAGGGAGAGGCGGTCGGCGACCAAGAAACAATCTCTTCCTCTGCCTCTTCCCCTTCTGCCGCCGGCGGTGCCTCTCCTAGCATCGTCGGCCACCCGCGGGGCCACGGCGGTGACGGCGGCCGAGCATGGGGGAGCTCCTCGTCCCATCCACTGTCTTCCGCTTCGCCTAGCTCGCCCTCCGCTGCTTTGCCCACCGCTGCGCTCGCCCGCCGCCGCTCCTCCGCCGCGCTCGCCTTCCGCTGCACCCCCCGCATCCGCGCTCCTCCGCTGCATGTAATGGGATATATACATGTGAGTGTGCTCAGCCATATACACATGCTTGGCTAATACTCCCTCCGTTTCGTTTTATTTGACACCGTTGACTTTTTAGCACATGTTTGACCGTTCGTCTTATTAAAAACTTTGGTGAAATATGTAAAACTATACGTATGCATAAAAGTATATTTAACGATGAATCAAATGATAGCAAAAGAATTAATAATTATTTAAATTTTTTGAATAAGACGAGCGGTCAAACATATGCTAAAAAGTCAACGGTGTCAAATAAAACGAAACGGAGAGAGTATATACGTCTGCATGTTATCGGGCGGAAAACCAACAAGAAGCTAGCTAGGCTATAGCTGGTCGTCTCCATGCATGCATATATATGCTCGTACGAAGACGCATGTACATGCGGCCGTCTGTACCCGGCGTATATGCGTATGAGCTACGACGTCAAGTGCTACCGCGACGTCGTCGAAGACGACGAGGGTCACCGCGCCCGCGCCGACCACCGTCCACGACGCCGATGGCACACCGAGCGTGGACACGCTCCTGCTGCAGCTGCGCGAGCTGGGCGTCCGGGAGGACTATGGGATCAGGCCGGCGACGCTGCCGCCGCCACCACTGCCGCTGTCGCGGCACAGGAGGAGCGCGAGCGACTGGGGTGCATCGTCAGCCGGCACTTCGAGCCACCTATGCACGGCCACTGCGACGCCTGGCCGATGCCGCCGAACGGCCGCGCCGTGTAGCCTCGCCCACGGCGACGACGACGGTGGAGAGCCGATGATGACGGCGGCCACGGCGCGCGGTTGCTCCGCCCGTAGCCTCCGCTCCGCCGCCGCGCTCTACCGCCGGGATCACCCGCCGTCCGCTCCGCCCACAGCCTGCCACCGCTCTGCTGCCGCACTCGCCGGCCGCCCGCATCCGCGCTCGGCCATCGCGGCTGCGCCCGCCGCCAGCCTGAAGGAGAAGAGAGAGGAGAGAAGAGAAAAAAGAAGAGAAGGAGAAGAAAAGAGAAGAAAAAATATGTGAAGCTGACATGTGGGCCCCACGTACTTTTTTAATTTTTTTTGCTGACTAGGATGCCACGTCAGCAAAACCGGGCAAAAATACTGCCGAGGTACCTCCAGTGAACGGTTTGAGTAAGTTTAGGGGTAGACATTTCTAGTTTTGTGATTAAGGGACCTCAAAAAATCTCGCTGTTAAGTTAAGGGACCTTCGGTGAACTTATTCCCAGAAATAATACCAGTGGCAATTTCCCCCGCGGGCCTTTCTCCCAGGGATTGGGCCGGGATCCCGGTGGTTTCCTGGGCTGCTAAAGGAGCCCTAAGGGTTAGATCCTTAAAAAGCTATGAGCATGTATGTAGAGGTTAGTCTTCGGAAACTATCACTTTTTTAAGATAATGGAAGCTTTATTAAGACTCAGTCAAATACACCAAGATGATACATTCCAACTGAGCCCACCCCCGGCCTCTGCATAAAATGCACACAACCAATAAAAGGACAAAACTAAACCCCCATCACGAAACATAGATATTAGTGACTATCAATCCATAGACTAGATTGCCACCCATGCTCCTGGGTAAAAACATCCCGTGCCACCTGGTCCAAATGTCGAGATATCACCGCAATAGTATCCCGTAATCCCGGTTTGTGGAGGATAGCCCAGGTACGTAACCACCGGGTTACTAGAGTAATAACCTGTAGAGGAGAAGACACTAACTTGTTATCAAAAATAACCCCGTTTCTGCTTAGCCAAATGGACCAACAAATAGCTGCTGCACCCATCAAAAACAGATTTCTCATTTCTTTAGGAACACATGAAAGCCAACGCCCAAACATATGAGTAACATTTCGAGGAGGTTGAAAGTTAGAGGCCATATGAATAACGGACCATACCAAACGAGATAGATGACATTGGAAGAACAAATAACGAGATAGATGACATTGGAAGAACAAATGTTGAATGGTTTCATCCTTATGACAAAAGCAACATTTTTTACTACCTTTCCAATTTCGCTTAGCTAGGTTATCCTTGGTTAGAATTACTCCCCGACGTAAGTACCAAAGGAAAACTTTTACTTTTAACGGTACATTAATCTTCCAAATACGTCTATTAATATTCGGGACGCCCATATGAACAAGAGCTATGTAATGTGAATTGATCGAGAAGACCCCATTGGGGGTGAGATTCCAGCGAAATTCATCTTGCTCTTGTGTCAACACCAAATCAGCTATGAGAGGCAATAAATTATGCCAAGCAGCTAATTTTGCTCCAATTAAATCTCGTCTCCATGAAAAGCTTGGAGGGTTTGTTTGAAAGATTTGTGATATTGTCGTTTGTTTATGCCTAACTATAACAGTTATAGAGACAAGGATATTGATCTCTCAACGAGGCATTACCCAACCACTTATCTTCCCAAAACCTTATTTGAGAGCCATCCCTAATACGAAAAGACCCAAACCGAAAAAAATCTTGTTTGGCCTTCATAAGACTATCCCAAAAATGTGAGTCGCCTGCTTTCCAATAAGCCTGAGATAAAGGTTGTGATCCCAAATATTTGTTACGTATCAACTGTTGCCACATTCCGTTTGTGGTAAGCAACTTGAATAGCCACTTGCTAAGTAACGCTATATTCTTTACCTCGAGGTCATGAATTCCCAGCCTCCCTTGATCTTTGGGACGACAGATGATGTCCCACTTAGCAAGCTGGTATTTTTTCTTATGGCCATCCCCTTGCCAATAGAACCTAGATCGAAGGTAATCAAGTTTTTTAAGTACCCCACTAGGTATTGCAAGGAACGACATCATATACATTGGGAGACTACTAAGTACTGAGTTAATCAGTGTTAGTCGCCCTCCCAACGAAAGAAGTTTTCCTTTCCAGCTACTTAATTTCTTTTCAAATCTTTCGACCACTTCTTTCCATTCCGCATTTCTTAACTTCCTACAATGGATCGGAATGCCAAGATATCGAAAAGGAAAATTACCAACCTGGCAACCGAAGAGTTGGGCATATTGATCTCTATACTCAAGTGCTTCGCCAAAACAATATAGTTCACTTTTATGAAAATTGATCTTCAGACCTGACAATTGCTCAAAGGCTAGAAGCACCGACTTCATATTCTGAGCTTTCTCAAGGTCATGATTCATAAAAAGAACTATGTCATCGACATATTGTAATATAGATAGTCCCCCATCAATCAAATGCGGAATGAGACCATCTACTTGCCCTTGTGTTTTGGCTCTATTTATCAAGGTAGCTAACATGTCAACAATAAAGTTGAATAGGATTGGGGAGAGAGGGTCTCCTTGCTGAAGGCCTTTTTTAGTCTGGAAAAAAGGTCCGACATCATCATTGACTTTGACCGCCACACTTCCCCCGACGATGAAAGATTTGATCCAAGAAATCCACTTGGGCGAGAAACCTTTCATCCGTAGAGTTTGTAACAAGAAGGGCCATTTGACCTTGTCATAGGCTTTTTCAAAGTCAATTTTGAATATCACCCCATTTAATTTTTTTCTGTGTAGTTCATGAACTGTTTCATGTATGATGGCGACTCCATCTAAGATGTTTCGCCCACGCATGAAAGCTGTTTGTGTTGGATTCACTAAATTGTCAGCTACCGAGCTAATTCGGTTTGTGGCGACCTTAGTGAATATTTTATAACTGACATTTAACAAGCATATTGGTCTATATTGTTGGATTCGATTTGCTTCTTCAACTTTCGGAATAAGAGTAATCACCCCAAAGTTTAGACCAAAAATTGGAAGGCTGCCAGAGTGGAATTCATTAAATAAATTCAGTAGATCATGCTTAATGACTTCCCAAAATTTTTGGTAAAATTCAACTGGGAAACCATCTGGTCCAGGAGCTTTATTATGATCCATTGCAAAGATCGCTTCCTTTATTTCTTTCTCAGAAAAGGAGCAGTAAGAAAGTCATTTTCTGCTTGTGTGGCCTGAGCCATATCCTCAGTTATGTGCTCATCAAGTGAAAATGAGTTTTCCGCTGGCGGTCCAAAGAATTTCTTGTAAAAATTTGTAATGTATGTTTTCAACGCCTCAACCCCCTCAATTTTTCCTTCATCC